CAACTTTTCATACTTTAGAAGTGAGATCAGTTGGTAACAGGTTTCACTAATACCCGATTTCTCTTTTTATTTAACTGTACATCGTATTTTTGTATGCATTCATTGCCGCACAGCAATAAATTTATTCAAGCATTTTAAAAAGTGAAACCAGCTGTTGTCTGACTAGTTTACAGTTGATGTATTGAACTCCAATGGTTATTTTTTCGATGTTGAGTAGGATTGAAATGAAAATCTCTTAATTGATTTGTCGATTAGTGGTATTGTGAAATAAATAGGAAAGATTTTAGATATTCATATATTCCAGATGGTAATCAGGCATTCTGTAAAACCACTAATCCTCTTAAGTAGAATTTAGCCTCTTGTTTGAAATTTCATGGAACGCTGGGCACAAGTGCAAGACAAGAAATTTTGACATGAAGATTTGAGGCACAGTTGTAGTAAACATTACGACAAAAAAAATCCCCCCTCTTCCCTCCCTACCCTCCCCCCACAAATAAAGGGTAATGAAAATTTCAAAAATAAACTTTGTGTCTTTCTCACTTTTCTAAAAAAAAAAAAGAATGACACAGTAGTTGGAAGTACTATTGTAGTAAATTATATATGAAAAAAAATTACCTTAAACAGAAAAAATGTCTTGAAATTATTTAAAATAAGTTTATATGCTAATCATAGGCATGCAAATATGATAGAAATCTGTATAAATCTAGGATTGGACATCTTAGCTGATGGATTATAAATTGTTAGCTTAGACAGCTGCTGTCATCTCACTAAGTGCCAGTATAATGTTATTTGTCCAGGATTAAAGAAAAGGAGGAAGTTCACAGCTCAATCATGCATAAAGATGTCTGGGGGTTTTTGTATTTGATGAATGAAAAATTCAATTTAATATAAGCTTGTGATATCTAGCAGTAGGTAACATTGGACTTCATTGGGAACACATCAGCAAATTACAACGTTGAACTTGTCACATGGTTTCTGAGGTGGTTGAAAAAGAAACTTGGCTTCCTGGTGCAGAAAGCTGTATATGTCAAGGTTTTGTTGTGCAAGCATCTCATATATTGTAATTATTACAAAAGTATTGGACATTTGGTTTAGAAATCTCTGCAAAAGACGGAAAATGTTTTAAGAATTTGTCATCGTTGAGGATGTGTATTGAAATCTTTCGTGGTCAAAATGCCTTTTCTTGTTTTACTTGAATAAAAAGAAAGGTAAAAATGTTTCAATAATGTCGCATGAAAAATGATAGATAATTTCTGGTTTAAGAAAAAGACCACTAAAAATTAAAAAAATCATATACCTAAGTATATTATTCACACATTTTTCAAACAAAATCCTTGAAAAATGATGACTTATGTTTATAACATTAGTGTTAGAATATACTGAAGACCAAACAGAGAAATAAAACGCACCAAAATCATGAACTTGTGTTAATAAATGAAATGATCCGAAGGTGTTCCTGTTAAATGTATAATCTTTATATGTGATTTTTATATTGAATGGATTAGCTCAGATAAAGTCACAGAAGGAATGATTAACTTAATAATACGATTAACTTTGTACAGTTTGAATGAATTTACATTATATACATTAGCAGTTTCATATTGAAAGCAGCAGCTTGTCGGTTATGTTTCATAAAGTATACTTTATAAAATGCCTCTACTGAATTTGTATCTAACTACAAATTGTCTGATACATGACATTCAAAGACAAGATTTTATGAAGCTGAATTTGTATCTTGTGGGTACAAGTCTCTTTGGTATTTAAAAAAAAAATACGAAGGAAGAATGACATTAGAGTTTACCGAAGTTGAACATTAAAAGACAGACCTGTTCATATTGAGGTATAGAGGATAGGTACTGGGTGTTTGAGGGTGATGGAGGAAGGGGAATGGGATGTCGTAGAGGAAGAGAGAGCTATAATGAAAAGAGGCAGATGAGATAGAGAATCAGTGTTATATGACAGTAACGTTGGCAGAGAATCCAAAGTTTGTCTTGTAACTTGTCAGAGAATGTCAAATAATCTAGATTTGTGTTGAGCACAGTATGTCAGTCAGGGCCCACAGCATAAGGTACTTCAGCCAATCAGAATTTAGGTAGCGGTAGTCTAGTACACAGGGTTAAATTATGCAGGTAAATAGCAGTGCTGGTTATAATGAGGTTTTAATAGGTGCTAAACACACCAAACTGATATAACAAAATTATTACCAAAATCAGGGTTCAAAATGAAACTATAAGTCATATTTTGTAAAACTGTTTAGATCATTTTACATGGAGGGGCCATAAATAAGTGGATCCATTACTTCAAATTGGCTTTATCCATTAAAGTTATAAATCTTAGAGATAAAGTTTTACTTTCACCTGCCCCAGTTACATATTACAATGTTGTTTATTGATAATACATCTGCAGATCATGATAAATTTCATTAATATTTATTTCAAAGTTTATATTGCAAAATAAACGAAAGATGTTAAGTGTGTTTTGGGTAGATAAAAAAGACTAAGAGATTATGGACAAGAAGAAAACAAATCTTTTATAATAGGATTCTGTATGGGAAAAAAATGTGTGATTGAGGACTTGCTGCAGGTGATATGACATCAGAGCTTGTATCGTGATTTTATTAGTTGTGAACCGATCACATGTTGAGATACGATAAAGCATACCTCGTAGTTGTTATCGCTAGCCCAGGTTTACCAAGTACTATTTGTGTTACACAAGTGTGAAGCTGGGAAACACAAAACATGTTTAAATCTGAAAAAACCAAACAACCCCAATGTACAGTTATCATTGGTGCGGAGGGTGGAGTAGAGGGAAGGGCGAGGTTCAGATGGTTCTATGGAGAGATACAGAAAAATTGATCATGATGGGGTATTACAAGTGAATAGTGGACAGTAGGATAGACACATAATGTTGATAACTCTTTGGTAAAGTTTTTGTATTTTCTTCCAACTTGAAATTCACAAGTGATGATAAACAACAGACCTATAACTTATGAGAAGTATATGTTAGGACAGACAACACATTGTTACTGAATAAAAACATTTTTTGGAGAACAAGTGTTTTTGTAGTCTTGAGGTAAAACTATGATTTCTGATAATGATTAAATTATGTGTGAATCATTTTCATGATTTATGATATTATTGAGCTTATGTATCAATTATTATCAATAACTAATTACGTGTCATAAATAAATCCGCTGAATTACAAAGAGGCTAACTTAGGACTCCTTATCCATATCTTCAGTTGTAACGGTAATACAAGGAATCTGACTGTATCATAAATTCAGAAAAATCTATGTTTATTGCATTGAAAGTTATGATTGTTTTACCACTGTACCAGGTTTTCATCTGATTGTTATATATGGCAAAGCACCATAAGAAAATGGATTCAAATCAAGAAAAAAAAATGCACGTGTTTTCAACGTGATGATTTACACAGATCCAACGGAAATTGTATCTGTTGCTTGATGAGCGGGCAATTGTTGAGAAAAGATTTAAAAGCTTCAGATTATACCTGAGAATCTCTATTTTGCCTAGAGGATCAATTAACTACAAGGGATACCAAAGAATTTTATGTGGCGCATGTTGTTTTTTCCAATTATGGTATACATCAGTCTCCCACCACTGCCATGATTTATTGAGTGACAGAATTCACTTTAGAAAATTTGATTTTCAACAGGTTTTTTTCCCCACATTTTCCTCCATTTCATAATGAAGAAAATTATATTGTTGTCATATTAGTACTTGTTAAAACAAAGAAGAAAAACATCTGCCATTTTATTGTTAATGTCAGCTGGTCGGACCTTTGAAACAATCCATCGATGATTTATATAACTTAGTTGTGTGGTTTATTTTCATACTGTACATGCATCAACATGTTATGTGCAGTCATCAGCACTCATGCTATCCAAATCTTTTTAACAAGTGACATATTCTCCTGCCTCAAGTAACCTTTATATAATCTAAGAACTGTTATCTTCAATTTGTTGACTGTTTGCTTTTTGGATAGATACAAATGTCTGAAATCACATGAGATATTTTTACATGATAATGTTTCTTTTGTAGATGAAATCTGAGTATATGTCTGTTAAAATCTGTTTGATATTTCTATTATTAGCCATAAAAAGGCCGTAGGTCTGGTATTTCTGAGCATCTGTTTGGACTGGCAATTGATCCATCCACTGTGATTAATTAGACAGATTTCTGGATCTTCGAATATGTTTCTGACTGAGAGATTGTAGTGTATATAGATCTGATTCCACCACAGCCCTGAATCATTACTATGATGAGACAACTCCCTCCCCTCTCCTCCCCTCCCCTCCCTTAAACCACCCAAGCATTATGGATTTGCCCGATTCACTCCAGCCATCTTCATTAATATGCTCCTGGGAATTGAACAGCTTTACAGCCAAAAGATATCCACCATTTCCTCAAGATGAAGAAAAAATGAGCCAATTAGACTTATTGTGTTTCTTGATTAATTTTGGACCAATTTTTTACCTTGGGGGTTTAAAGGATAACCTGAGAGTATGCCTGCTAGGTAATTAGGTGTCCTTCCCATTTTGTTTTTTACTGCCATGGGAATGTAAAGGTATCACCACAGCCTCCATCCAGTGTACTGACCAATATTAGGTCAGAATCCTGTTGCTCCAACTATAGGGACATGGCACAATTATACAGATTTGGAGATGTAGTAGTATCACATGGCTGTATAAACAATCGTCTGACATGTTTTATAGAAATCTGTTAAAGGGACATTCCCATCTGTGAATAGCACAACTATGCTGAGGTATTATTTTTTTTTCAAATTAATATCTTAAAGAGGATTATATGACCTTTCAATGACTATAGATTGCACTGTAAATACATTTTGTAATTTGTTGTTTGGTTGAGTATGTGTAAAGAAAACCTGTTGAATCGACATTTCAAGGTATTTTAAATATGGAATGACTTATGAACTATCAACTGTTAAATTTTAATGTTAGTTTTTTGTTTCCATTTTAGGAAGTTGGCAGTATCATAGGAAAGGTAAGTATTTCTGTATTTTTAAGACTTTATATCCTAAAGTTAAATCAGATGTCTAAATTCTGTGTTAGAGTTATCTACCTTAGAACAAAATTTTGGTTATGTCATTTATTTGTTTATTTGATATCCAATTAACCAATAAGTTATCAGTTGATCCGATGACAATCATAGTTTCACACTGGTTGATATAACTAAGGACAAAAATTTTAAATGATACATATTGATTCAGACAAAGATATCTTACTGATCGCTGTCAGTGAAAATATTACTGATTTTTTTCTTCGTGTCTATTTTCAGAAAGGAGATAACATTAAGAAGTTCAGGGAGGATGTAAGTGTGGCATTTTGATTATAATAGATGAAGATGTCTTAATTTTATGTTGAATATATTTGAAAGATTTCACTTTAAACATTACACAACAGTGTTTTAATGAATTTTAAGTTTGATTCCATGAAAAAGATCTAGAAAAAATATCCATCTCTCTGTAAAAAAACATATGATATTGTTGTATATTTATTGTTGTTTGCATTTTTTTCAGAGTGGTGCTAAAATTAACATATCGGACGGGTCATGTCCCGAACGTATTGTTACAATTACTGGATCCACAGAATGCATTCACAAAGCATTCACTATGATCTGTAAAAAGTTCGAAGAGGTGAGCGGGGGCCCGTATCAAGTATGTTATCCATTTTTGTTACCCTTCTTACATTTGTCTACTTTACACAATGATATTTAACGAACCATTTAAAAACAAATGTACCTCTGGTGCAGATGTTGAAAAGTTTGGAAAAGGTTTGAATTTTGATGTGGCAGATACAGAGTGACACACTGTTTTGTTTTTACTACCAGACCAAGCTTTCACGTCAAGATTGTTGGCAAATCTTTACATAATACTTTATTTTCTAACAAATTTCTCATTTGTAAAAAGTAAGTTCTGGAATGGTTTTTCCCCCCAATACTAAATCGTTCTAAGATAATTATTCCTTCCAAAAATGCTTGGCAATTACATGTAATTTGAATTGTCTGTGTCATGTGGAATTGCCCCCCATTAGCATGATTCCCTAATAAGAGGTAAAACAACATCTATCTCAAATAACTTCCCACTTCATTTTGAAAATTGATTGGTTAAAATTAAAACATTTTAAGTTTTATTAAGATGAATAATAAAGAAAGAAAACAGTCCTAATTACCACTTTGTTGTGAAGAAATATGCATCAGAAGAGTTCTGAAGCTGGTCTATGTGTCATATCTTCCAGAAGAACCAATTAAAACAGAAAATTAATTACAAATCTGTGTTCAGAGAACAAATTAAATAATGATTTGTTTTAGTCTATAATGATTTTAAGTTTGAACTTGATGTCTAACAATCTCTAGTGTGATATATGTCTTGTCTTGTCATTCCTAAAATATTTTGATCATTCTGAATAAACTGTTATCAGTTAAAGCATGTGCATGAAAAACGATGACTATGTATGTGAAACTGTCACCAGTAAGCAGTAATCATTTGATTGACTCTAGGCCTTCACAGTGATTCAAAAGTAATAAAATAGAAAAATCAGTTTATTTTTAAAAAATTGACATATATTGATATTGCTATTGGCTTTTTTAAAAGTGCAATTATAATAATTTCCATGGTGATGCTAGTTATCATTAGGGATGAACATAAATGTAGATATATGATCCAACACACTGCCATATATGGGGATAAAATTTTTCATCAACTAAAAACGTGAAATGAAAATGAACATCAAACTGTTTTGGAAAGAAATGTTCCTGGTCAAAATATCATTGTGTTCAGTAAATAAGTCTTTATTAGCAAACATTTGATATTGATTTCTCTATGTAATAGTAAAGGTAATTTGTTGTCAAATTATTTTCATTTGTAAAGATGAAAAGGTAACTGATGCCATTCTTTGAAGCTAATTCAGATCAATAAATTAATAAATTGTTTATGCTGCCTGAACAATTGAGTGCTTGAGTTTGGCATGTATTTTAAATATGACATTAATTTCTTTCAATAATTGTTTGTAAAAATTGTTTTGTATGACTGTATCTTGAATTGAAATTTTGTAACTAGTGACAATTTTTTTTGTTTTTCTTTGTTTTCAGGATCTTCAAAACACACCTACCGTGCCTAAACCCCCAGTAACATTACGATTGGTTGTGCCCGCGAGTCAATGCGGATCCCTCATAGGAAAAGGGGGCTCTAAAATCAAGGAAATCAGAGAAGTAAGTTGTCGGAAGGAGAAAAACTATCAGAAATATCAAAATAATGATTTCTAAGTAATTTTACCTCAAATACTTTCTGTCAGAATACTTCATCATCAGACATATTTATGTGGGCCCACCATACACATACAGATATCTACCTTTAATGCTGGTTTGGCAGTCATAATGCACTACAGGTCCTTAGTAATATGGGTTCATTTCTTCGGAGAATTATTACATTTGGGGCTTCAGGTTTGAGAAGATTGAATCTTAGCCTGTCCTATAGTTTTCGACGAATGTGCAGTGAGTCTTATAACAGAATAATGCGTCACTTTATGTTTTCATCTCCATACCATTTTATTACCATCCCTGTCTCTCTCTTTGTCTTTCAGTTGAATAATCTGTACTTTCGTTTCCCCTTGTGGTTTTCATAACCATATCCGGGTATATAATTCTCTATCTAATCTAATGCAGCAAAATGTTTGGTCCATTCCTGTGCATAACTGTCGACAGTTGACCCCAAGCGAAAAGCAAATGGGCCAATATGGTCTACCTGTATATTTGAAGTATAGACATGGACTTATGCCAAAAGCTACCCAGCTTAAGGAGTATTGATAGAGACAGATATCTGTGGCAAGTTGATGGCCATCTCTCATGACTTTGATGGGCCCAAGTACATATCTCACTCTGCTTGCACTTGTAATAGATACATGACACTGAACAATTTAAGCTGTTTACAGCATGTATGATCCCTCATTTATCTATAGCACAAATCAAATGTACAAAGTCTGTACATGGTGGAGTTCTGTTATTTGTCATTAATATCAAAAATAAAAATACATCTCCCGAACATTTACAGCAGATTTTCATTCATTAGTAATGTTTATGCATTTCCAATGAGAGGCCATGCTTCATCACAAGAGTATTAGCAGAGAGCAAGTATGTGATTTGACTGTATGCACCTGAACATCGCTTACTTTCTTTCTTGTTAAAACCATCCAGTGCTATTTCTTATAAATAGACAAGTGTATTTACAAATGAACGCCATGATCAATCCATGGTAGTAACAAGGAACTAATGATGAAGGTTTACCCATTTAGCTGTCTGTCTCCCTATGTTGGCATATTTCAAACCCGAGAGATAATTCATTTTGAAAGGTGGCATTACTGTAATATTTTGATTTATGGTTGAGGGTGCAGATCACTGGCATCTAGCGATCCATTCAGCTTCAGCTTTCTATTTGGTGTTTACAACCTCATCAATGCCATGTGTGTATTTATTTATCAGATGTTTTCTTGTGTGATAGTATTAGTTGTGCCACAGATTAACCTCAGGTGCCATATTTTAACCCAAATTTTCACTTTCTTTAGAAGTAGTTCCATACCATTAAGGTTTATTTACTGCTTTAACTAAACCAGATTGGACTTAACCTATCTTTTTCCTTTTTTATTTTAGACTACAGGTGCTTCTATACAGGTGGCGTCAGAGATGTTACCCAACTCAACAGAGCGCGCTGTGACTGTGTCAGGCACCGCAGACGCTATCACACAGTGCATAAGAAATATCTGTAATATTATGTTGGAGGTAAGTTGACGTCTTTTCCGTCACCACTGCACTATCGTGCCTTTCACATACCACTGGTGGCAGCCACGGAAAAAAATTTGTTGTTCGGAAAAGTGTTTATCTCGACAGGCTTTAAATCTTTAAAATTTTCAGTAATGGTAATTTTCATGTCCACATATTTCAATGAGTCCATACAGTTACAAATGCTATTGTTATGTCAACTAATAAGCCCACCTCAGATTTATATGTCCCAGACTTATGACAGGATAGGTTTGACTGGTTTGGTCTCTGATATTATTGTTAAGTACTTAAAATATGGTATTATAGAAATTTTCTTATTTTGATTTAATAGATGTTTTTTAATCCATTTTAAGCTAAAGCACATTTATAAATGCCACTGGTAAATCCTGTATTTTCTGAAGGAACAGGTTGATGTGATGTAACTTATCATAGTAAGTTTGTACACTGAACTGACTGTATACAATAGTATGAGTAATATCAATTAGGTTGTAAAACCATCATAAAGCTGCTTACAATGGAACCTCATTGACATAAAATTGGCTTTTGAAGAAGTGAAGATATCCTCTTATTGAAAACAGAAAGAAATTAAACAAGTATGTAAGTGTAAGGATGTAAGCTTTGATAAAACCTGCACTGTAATTTTTCATTTGACGGTATGACGAGGTCTTTGTACAGGTTTACATAGTCAGGCAATACATCTAGATGTCCTCAAAATTATTTTGATGAATTCATTTAAAAAATAAAAATTCAAAAGAACTACTGAAAAGAAATTCATAGTTTAATTTAACAAAAACAATTTTAAAAGGAAACAAAATCTTCAACATCATTAAACCCATTTGATTAAATGAATGATTGACAGGATCATCCCATTGCGTCTGTGTAAGTGTAACCCCAAATCTATATATATGCACCCACTATATGTACACCCTTTGTACCAAAACATATTCGTACATATATTTATATTTAATCACAAGATTTAATTCTCACTGAAATTTCTCAATTTCCAAATTTTTCCAGACGACAAACCGAGGACCAAATAATTATGCCTGTCTCCCAATGTCTCCATGGTTACTGCTTTTGTCCTTGACATCTACTAGTACTGTAGCCATACTTCCTGTCTATGTGACCTTTAACCTTTGGTATTTTCCATCCTCTTCCTCAACAGTCCCCCCCTAAGGGAGCTACCATCCAATACCGTCCAAAACCTGTTGTCCCTCCGGTAATCTTCGCAGGGGGTCAGGCATACACAGTTCAACAGGGCCAGATCGGACTGCCAGCGCCAGAGGTAAGGCTTAGGGCCCAAGTTACTTCCCTGATATAACTCTTGTTTTATTTATGTACTTCTGTTTTGTGATGTTTTGTGGTGGTGTGTTCAGCTGAAGACAAGATGATTTTCCCAAAGAAAACATTAAGTTAGTATTTCACAAATTTTTAGTGAATAGAAGATATTTGGAAATAAGAATCTCTGTCACTGAAAATACTTTTGTTGTTATAATATAGACACATAAACACAAAGAAAAAATATACTTTTGTTGTTATAATATAGACACATAAACACAAGGAAAAAATATACTTTTGTTGTTATAATATAGACACATAAACACAAGGAAAAAATATTAAAATTTTGAAAGAAAATGAAATCATCTTGTTTACCTGCCTATGACCCTGTTTTGTCTTGCTTCTTATTCCCGAGAACCAGGCCAATAACTGAAGATTCATTTTCTGGATTTATCAAAGTGAATTCAAGTGATGTAATAGCTAAGATAAAAGATCATTGACGAAATCAGTGATAAAAGCAATGCATTTGATGTTTATGGTTCTGTGAATGCCATCTTTATTCAGGTTTAAAACCTCTATGTTCATCATAAACTCTGATTTTATATATATGGTTTTGTCCTTCAAATCTTTGGCCTGGTATGTCCAGCTTCCCCTTGGTATGCTTTTTCATAAGTATATCCATCGTCCCAAACAAAGGTGAACTTGATATCACACTTATAAGGAATAAGTTGTTCCTGGCTTAAGGGAGCAACAACCAGCATGACATGAGAAGGAGTTGTCTGTCCCTGACAGAGACATCAAGGCAATTCTCTTATCACCATATAACAAGGAAATGTGGCACGAACACAGCCTATTTGAATTTTTTGGAACAAATTTACACACATGTGTGTGGATTAATTTTTGCTAGATACTTGGAATCTTAATCATCAATCAGTTTTCATGCATGTAGTTTGAATTCCACCAGTTCTAGATAAGTTACATTTAACATTGTTTGTGTCAAATTAATGAAGTAAAGGTTAAGTATTGTAAACATCATTGAGGTTTCAAATGATGTTTTTGAGTACATAAATACTTATTTTATTTTCACTTGTTGGCTCTATGTACAATTTGTTTGGGTCTTTAGCCATCAGTCATTAATTTTGGTGTATAAAGTATTTTTACCTGTCTTCAGAGCATTCAACTAAAGGAGCCATAAAGATATTGTCTTTTCACAGCACAACCATTTTCTTGTTTATTTGAAATGAGAAATAGCATATCAAACTCAAAAAATCATATAGAATTTGAGGAAATGAGAAATAAAGTGACAGCTGTGTTTCTGTTATGCAATGTAGACTCTTAACAAATTTTTTGTCATCATTTCTTCTGTGTATACTTTCTGTTTCTTGTCTGTTTCCTGCCAAAGTAAATAAGTGATTTCCCGAGTTATCACTATGTTATAGGATCAGTTCTTGCTACTTTGAATTGAATGAGTCTGACTTACTTTATCAAAACTTTGAATTAAATCAAATGTATGCAGTTTTGTTCTGAAGTCCTATACATCAAACTGTTCTGACTATGAAAGCAGGTATAATACACCATATAAGTCCAGGTTATTTAAATCCCTCTTCTTCTTGGTAGTTTCGACCAGTTCCTGAAAACGCGGAGTCCCACAGTCAGGTAATATAAGTTGCCAGACAATTTTCTCTATAACAAGCCTTATCTAATGCTACTACTCTACATGTATGCTCTGTAGGTTGGACTACGGTATCATGTAGCCTTTTAGCTTCATTCTGTTTGAGGAGACTTTCTCTGTTAGGGTTTTGGAACTCTCTTCCTTTCTGTCATAATAATGTTATTTTCTACTAACAATACTAGAGTGTTATGTGCACGGAGCTGAAAACTTGTGAGGTAAAAAAATCTGCATTTCTGCTGATTATCCTGCACCCAGTATTTAACCCTATTAACCCGCTGTTGTAATATGTAAGTCATATGAACTAAATTTGCTAACCTTTTCACCATTTTATCAATTTAGAAAGTGATTAATTTTCCGTCCAAGAAGAGAATATACATTCATATCTGTTGATGGAGCATATGTTTTCAAAGGAAAAATTAGTGATCATTTCTGGTAAATTAGATTGTTATCGGGAGAATAGAATTCCAAAACTTCAGAGTTATTTCCCTGTGATTAAATTAATGTATAAGGAAAATATATTAGATAGTGTCATTTAAAGGAAAATCGCGATTGTGTAGATTAATGAATTTATCTGGTTATTTTCCTTTTAGATAACACAACAGTCTCAGTATAATAAGGTAAATGATATGTATTATACATGTACTTGTATCTCAATATATACTCCAGTGTATCTAGATATTGTATGTTTATCATTGTAACCATGACTATATCCTCCTAATATTATTTTACTTCTACAGACATGGCCTACTTTGACAAAATCCTCTTTCATTTTTCACTTCGACTATTTTTTGTAATTTTCTGTATCAGTCCGTCACTCCTGTGTTACCTAGAAAATCATATAAGTTGAAAACCATATGGAAATTCACTTATCTTGGAGTTTGGTTTTTGAGATCTTATTCATTCTTAAAAGTCTAACTCTCGACCAAAAAACTTTTCTGAAAGTTTTTGTCAAATTTCAGCCATTTTAGTATCTCAAATTGTCTTATAAGATGTGTGTTGCTTCTTAAAAACTCTGCTCATTATAGAATACCATGGTAACTGGTTGTTGTGTCTTTCCTTCAAACGATGTGAACGAAAAAATTTACATATATTAACTGGCCAGAAATAACATTCATGGCTGCATGATCATGACCTGTCTGAATAAAAAACATATGTGAAAGTGAGTGCTTAAGTTCTCCTCAATTAGGATGTTGATGGAATATTGATCAGGAAATTTTTATATACAAAACATGCTCCATCTGTTTATCCAATTAGCTAACTACCATCTCTTGTACTTCCTAGTAGTTTTCTGCTTATAATAAGGAGCCATGCTTTCTTCCATTCTACATTTTAATCATGTAGAATGTACATGTATCAAGTACATCTACTTTTAATAGCCTGTAGATGATGGTCAGCAAGTTCATTAAACAGATGTTTCAAAAAAAGTTGGAGTAATCGTGCAAATTCCACGATAATGAGAATTCTAATCCTAAATCATTTATTTGTTTTGTTTGAAATATATAAAAAAAATTCCCTGTCAACTGTTCTCATAGATGTCATTTAGGTTTCCCCACATCAAATGCCACATATCAGGGTATTTTTGGGATGTGCATCTTTTTGCAATTTAGTCATCAAAGTTGATAGGCTTTTTTTGAAGACTTTGAATACTTCAGAATGGACATAGTGTGCTTATATACCAGTGACATTTGGCATCTGTCTAGTCCTACTTGAGATTTATTTACCAACTAATATTTATTCATTAAAAGTGTTCCTGACTAGAAAGTGTTCAGGTGCCTGTAGATATAACAGCCGTATGTATTACTGGTGCATTTACAATAAAAAGTAGGAAACCTGCAGACTTTCCAATTTAATTGTTTTTGCAATTCTGACAGGGGGTCACTTAATACACAAAAATGATATATGCGCAAAAATTCCTGGTATGTGGTATTAAAATCAAGCCTTTAAATCTGAAAATTTGTGGAAGTATGTAAGCAAAAGTCGTTGTCCTTGGTGATTTGATTAGGTGTAATGGTGGCCAGGCGTCTGCAGACTGTAAAACCAATAAACCTGCATGTATGTGTGTCAACAGTGACCTAGCTGTGCATGTGAAGTACAGATTGTATCAGTGATACAACCACCATGTTCTGTGGCAATGCCATTGTCTTATTGAACATGCGTTATTGAATTATAAATAACTTACTAAAGTATACAGATATAGATTTAAAGTTAAACCTGTGAAATCTGACCCCTCTGTATTCTGATTGAGGTAGTGTTTTGTTAGACATTGGCGAAATATCATTTGTTACACAAACAAGTAAAATCTTTGTATTACAATATTGTCCTTGAGAGTGTCAGATTACACAGGTTTTTTTTTGTAAATGCATTTGTCTTGTATTAATATTTAATACACAAATGTACTATATAGTAGCTACTGCGACATTTCATTTATCTTTAAACTTTTTTCTCATTTAATTTGAAAATATGATAGACTTTATTATACATCTTAATTAGAATATTAGCATTAACCTTTGGTGATTTATAGCTATTGTATACCGTGAATCATATGGACGGACATGACTTTCAATGTAAGGGGAGACCACTCTAGTTGACATGATAACCATTAACACAAAAGAAAGGAAAACCATTTTCTTGATTGACATATTATTAGAATTTATGATATACAATGTAGCAAAATGAGAATCTTTAGGTAATCGTTCGAGTTCAATGATTGGCTTCTTGTGTTTCACATGAGTCGATGTCTATGTATATTTATAATTAGAGAAAGATTAATTTCGGGAGTATGACAAAAAAATTATTTTTTATGTCGTAGCACTCCTTTATTTTTTATTTTTTGCTTAAAAGTGAAACATATCTATACCATTTCTAAAACACTTAAATGCACCTGTAAACTCTCTAACATGTTATAAATTCTAGGCACTTAATGATTGTGTAAACTCTCCACATTGACAATCCATATCTTATCTCAACCCTGATTCCCCTCACATAAATCACTGCTTTACTGTTTTGTTTGGAACTTTCACTTCAAAGGTTTTGGGGGACAGATCCTCTATCACACCTTAACTGGATATTGATAGTCTAGGATTCAAAATTTCCCACTCTAATTAGGGGAAGAAAATTCTTTCTTAAAATTGGAAATTTGAATACAGAAAAAATTAATGGTTGGAAAAGAATTTCTTATACATATTAACAATGTTTGTGGATGAAAAATTTCTACTGTACAGTGCCATTTTTGAAGCAAAAAGAAAACATAATAATTAACATTTTGTGAGGTAGAAAATATTTGCTATTGAATTATTTAGGTAGAAATTCTTAAAATGATTGATTGGAAAGCATATCTTACATTGCTTGTGGTCAAAGGTGGATACTAGAAAAATACCTATACTATGCTGACTGGGACAAATATCTCTACCCTGACTGGTCTAGTCTGATGATTATCTCTTCTGCTTGTTCCCTCACAGGTTTGGGGGCTTCAGGACCATAACTGTATGGTAAAGGTCTTCCAGTGAACGCTTGCTTTTGGAATGATTTTTTTTTCTCCAAATTCTCTCCAAATTTTCTTCTCGTAGTTCTGTACCAAATATACAACATACCATATTCATCACAACCTATTGAAACCTTTTCGTGAATTTCTGTTTGGTAGATGCTGTAAATTAGTGTCTTTGGAACACATTTATATCAGCCCGATATATATATATATATTTGTATATCTAACTCCTTCTTTTTCTCAAAGGAAATTGTTTCAATTTTTCTGTTATTGTGATTATCTCCCTTTCTTCCTGCATTTAGTTTTGATATCTGTCATGTTAAAAAACCCATCGGCCTTGTCTCTTAGTTCAGTTCCTTCCCTGTGGATAACAAGACCATCTGCTTTTTTCTTCTAAATTTTTCGCCAAATTTTTTGTTTGTTTGTTTGTTTGATTTTTTTTTTATTTGAAAAATGATTCAGACTTTTTAGACGCTGGAGGCCCTATGCCATAGAGTATAATTAGTATTTTATCCACATAAACCTATACTGTGCACATATCATTATATCATGCATGTAATTGACCATATGGGACATGGTAATGTTATTCACACATTTTCTAGCTATGCACTTTTCTACTCTCTTTTTTCATTTTTAAATTCTATGTATCTGTTGGTTCTTTAAAGTTTTTTTTCAAGTTTTAATTCAACTTTATACACAAAGTGTTTCCTTTCAAAACTTTTCATACTCAAATTATCGCTACATTTATTTATTAAATCTATTTTGTGTACATGCAAGGTTTTGTATTTAAATCAAATACAGGAGTTAATGTCATATGCTTTACAAGTTCCATACAAGTTGGAGAATAATTACAAGTTGTTTGCAGATTGATTTTTTTATTTTTTCCTTTATCATGAAGTGTGGTTTTGAATTTGATCATCCCCACTAACTGTCATTCTCTGTAATACTGAAAAACAAATGTGAAATGGTTTGAAATAATGTGTGATAAAGAGCATGAATGGACAGATATTCGAAACAAAAACATCGTTGTGTGAAAAATATTGCTGTAAAACTGATGGTCACCTGTGGGCAAGACAACACGTTTTAAAGACATGGACATATGATCTGTCCATGACTTTGTGACATTTTTCGATAAAATTTGATGTTGACTATTTTCCTTTGCATCAAGATGAAAGTTGTTTTGGAGAATAGAATAATATCGCTAAATATAGATTCCTAGAAAATAGTTGATGAAATATTTGTATAATTTTGTAAAAATGTTTTTCTTGAAAAATATGACAATACAACTTTTGTAAAAATGCGAAAATTTAGACTATCAGTAAAATAAGCTATACACCGTCAGAAGCTATCAGTACTGATCTTTACCAAAAAACAACACCTTATAGGGAAAAGGTTATGCCCTTATCACTCATAGACTTTACTAATGGAATATCCGTTCTCACTTAACATGGTCAGTAGGGAACCATCCCAAAGAAGTTAAGCAGAACTCACTTTAGGCCTATAGTGTTAAATGACCAAAAAATAGAAAAGAAGATTTTCCTCCTGAGACCATGTATTATCACTTTAGTATGTGCTATTTTATGACGTGACGGAGCAGATTTCTGTTAAAGTACATGCACTGATACCAAATGTCAGCTGACCTTTTAGTTGTGTGATCACCGACTGGAGGTACAGATATTTATTACTGTTGACGTACCTCTGACCGATTCAACACCTTAAAGTAAAGTGTAATCACTAATTTGTGGTCGAAATTGACTTTGATGAGGTCCATGAACTTCAGAGCAAATCAAATTTTGGCTTTAAAAAATCTGCAAGTTTTTGTTTCTTTCAGAACAATTCAGCATAAACCATATGTGTTTGAGTTATCTCTGGAATTTTATCATTTTTGTTAGCTAATGTGAACTCTCAAATGGGTCTTTAACTACAGGCGAAGATCAAAACTACTTTATTCATTTTTTATATTGAAATTTTGTACTTTTGATGAACAAACAGCTAAGATTAAGAGTGTGCAACATATGCATGATACTTGCATGCTGCTTTTGTAAGTCTTCAGACGATATACTGTATCACTCTTAGGCTTCAATCCACAAAGGGTTGAAATTGTAGATACAAAATTTTGTTTGATATCATTAAGTGATAAGTAAATATTTCCATGTAATTATCTTCAACAGATTGGGACTATTTTTTTTCTTAAATTTAGGATAAAAACATTACTATAATTATCAAATTAGCAGTTTTTGTAAATTCATTTTTGATAAAGTTTTCAATGAACTAGAGTAAAACAGTCATGTTTGATGTTTAAGTTATGAAAGATTTAATTATCTCTTAATATTGAAATGAAATTCCTCTAACATCTATCTTTTCATTGCATTTTTCTTATGTTTTTTATTATCAATATTACTTTACAGCTGTCGAAACTACATCAGCTGTCGTTAGGTCAGGCCATCCCGCTAATTCCACAGTCTCAGACGATACTGCCAGGTATGTACAATGATTGTTCATATATGAACACAAATCTTGACTTTCGTCTGTCTCTAGTCATTTTTCAAAAGATCCATAGATATTGGTTGGCTATCGTGCCACACATATTAGGTAGACATTTTGTACTGTGAAGAATTCAGAAAGACGAGTTCGCTATAAATTGAATGTTGACTAACACAACTTTTGTCCCTAGTAGATCACCGCATGATACCGGCTATGACTGCACCAGGTATCCCAGCGATGGCATATCAGCGACCAAACAACACGGCCATTCCAAACAGCCATCATCAACAACAGTCACATGAGATGGCCATTCCAAATGACTTGATTGGTTGTATCATTGGCCGAGGTGGACAAAAGATTAACGAAATCAGGTAGGGTTAAAAACCAGAACTTTATACCAAAGTTTCATTAAATCAGGTAGGAAAAAATTCAAAACTTTGTACAAAACTAAAACCATTATATCAAATGAGCAGATTGGGAGAAAAGAGGATGCTTGATCCTCTTTGCATGGTTCAGAAACACTATAGAGAATTTCCAGTTTGGACCAGCTTGAAAACAAATTTGAAATGAAGTATATTTAAATTTTTTTCAATTTGAAATATTTCTGAAAACGTATTGATTTTCAATTTCTATTGAATAACGTTGATCAGGAGAATTAAAAAAAAAAAACAGAAACCACTTCACTGGGCTACATTTGATTTGCTTTCTTATGTATGAAGTAAAGTTTGACGAAAGTAATACCCCAACCATTGTTATTTTACCATGTTCTCTCCACAGACAAATGTCAGGAGCTATTATCAAGATCTCAAATGCGGAGGATGGTGCCGCGGACAGGAAGGTGACAATTACAGGCACTCCAGAGACAATCGGCCTGGCCCAGTACCTCATCAACACCAGGTGTGTATATCACCAGCAAGTGCAGCAGCATCAGCTTTACTACTGACTCCGCTGGAGCTCCGCGGTCCGTTGACTCCGCTGGAGCTCCGCGGCCTGCCTAATGTAGCATGGTCGTACTGCCGCGGCTGTCGCATTAACTCCGTTATTGTATATTTTGTGCCACCAGTGTTTATTTATTAATACAATTGTTTATTTTGCTGTATTTTCTTTTATCTTTAATAACAATTCAATTATATAATTGTAGAATTAGCTGAAATATACATTTTTTTTTTATTATTTTACTAATAAATCCTGTCTTTGTAAACTCCTACACAGCTTTGCCTATCTCCCTACCTCTTTTGCCATTACCTTTGTATTACATGTATCAATGTGTTCCATTTAGTTCATCTTCATGTGTCTCTTCTGTCTACTGCCATTCTTGTATTGTAATTCACTCTCGAACATTTCACACCTGTCTGTCTTGTCTCTTAGAAAAATTCATTCACATGTCTCATATATGTGTCCCCTTTACTCATATGTGTATGTCTCACACTGTCTAGCCCTCACATATGTGTGTCCTAGTAAAATCAATCCACAAACACATCACCTGTGTAATTCACCTCACCACTGCTGTATGTTAATCACCTTCACACTTACATCCTTTTTCACACATGTGTTTCATGTGAAAAATGAATATTGTGATCTGTCTTTACCTTTTTTTCAATAATACACATTGATTCAAGTTTTCACATCAGGTTTTGATTCTGGGATGCAAAAATATTGGTTTGAATCATTTGTGATACTTCTCTGGTTATATGCAAAACTTCTTCCAATAGTTCCTCAACACATATAAAACTTCACATTTTGAGACTCCTGAATGGCCATTTTGAAATGTTCCTTTCCCTGAAATGGACCAGTTCTTTATTGTATTCAGGGGCCAAATAATGTAAGAAAAATAATGTAATATGTTTTATTTTATTTTTTAACAAAAAAAGTAAACCAGAATTCAAAGTGTATAATATTGTTTTTCTTCAAACAGTTTATTATCTTGAACCTAACAAATAATTTAGTTTTTGAAGAATACTTGTATTTCTTAACTCTAAATATTATTCTTATAAAATGTTGAGATTAAGCCAAAATCAAAATATGTATTTTTTGTTATGATTTGATAACAAGACAGAAGAGTAATTGAATAATCGCTGATGTGTGTGATAATGCTTTTAATTGTTTTATTTCAAATCTATGCATTTTGATGTCCTAAATTTTTTACATAAAAAAATCCCCAGGCATGTTAAAAAATATAGTACTATTAATTACAATTTTTAAGATATAAAACATTACTAGTGCTTAAATGATTGATATTTCAGCAAATATAATTATGCATATAAACTTATTTATTTATTAATCATTAATTGCCTTTTATGTATTGGTGTCATTTGGTAGACAATAAATACCACATGTCTTAAATTATTACAAGGTGCAATAAACTCTCCAGGCTGTTGTTAAAATGGAAATTTGAAACACTAAAATACATTCGCTCTTCTGTCCATCTGTTAGCAAATAGTAATGCTTTCACTCTATGAACCCATTTAACCCTACCGCAACAAAACTTTGTACATTTCAAAGGTCATGACATTGAACTCGGTCCAATTGGCTGAGATGTTCTTTCTACACCATAAATGTGATCTTTCCACATCAACTTTAAAGAAACTTGGAAAAGATTTTGGTTAACATAATTCAAGAGCCAGTGTGTGAAAGGTCAGAATATTTCAAGGTCAACTCATCATTTTATATGGTTTATGGTGTGTAAAGCAGAAATTTCTAATATTTATTCTGTAAAAAATGAAAATTGCACTTTGCTATCAGAAATTATTTTCTGCTTATAGATGGTATTTTATGGTTGTGGACATACACAGTTGGATTGCTCAAAACACATCCAGAAATTTACACTATAAATTACATAATTTTAGGTCCTTGTGTTTACAAATAATCATTTTGACTAAGTTATCAGATAATTCACGATAATTCGCTTTTTACATGTAAACTGTAAACTTGTATCTGGAAATAACATTGCCTTGCTTAAAACAATCTGCCTCACTTTGAATTTGCAATGTTTTGTGTTTGTGCATTTATAAGAAGCTATGTATCAGAATAGAACTAATGTAATGATAATCGGATATCTTTAAAACTCTTGTTTTTATCATGCTGTCCATTATCTTGTGACTTTTTCATTCCTTCTTTTAGAATGAACGTCTCGTAGAGTGATATATTGTAGGCAGAAAACAACTAAAAGATGCAGATTTCATTTGATTTTGGGAGTTGGGTGGAATCCTTCAGATCTGAACATTGTTCCTTTATTTGGGGTACTTTCAATTACTAAGAATGTCATCACATATAAATTCATTTTCTGAAACAGTTTCTCATTTTTGCTCAGCAATAAGCTAACTAACAACATACTCTTGTAATTTTTTTTTTTAATTTATTTTTATTTTTTTTGTTTTTTTTGTTTTATTATTCAATTCTTTTAAAGATGCAATGTCGTTTTCATGCATGTTTTTTTTTAAACAAAGACGGATGTTCTACTCATCAACATCAGAAATTTCTAGATATGTATCACATCTCTGTGACGTTTTCTTTGAGTAAGTTGTCCGAAAATGACATCTGAAGATAAGCATTGCATCTTTTATTGACAATGTAAGGTTTTTTTTAAAAAATCATTAATGATTTTTTTTTTTTTTTTAACTTCTTGTTCATATTCTTTAATTTTACTAATCAAGATATCAATGAATGCATACAAATATGTTCTTGTTCCAGCAAACTATCAAATGGCACATTTAACGAAACAATAGTCACTTCCATCTCATTTCAAATGACCTGGAAAAGGAACCATAACTGCACTTAGTGAAATTGTTGATAAATCAGAAATCCAGTGGGAGGTTTGCAGATAGACATGGGGTAGAAGGATTCAAGTGGAGTTACTCCCCTTTCACAAGCCCTCTCCTCTCTTGCTTGACTACCATTCATGCTTAGATCCCTTTCTCATGCTGTCCAATCCTGTTTCCATTGCACTAACATATTAGGTCTTTAAAGTGAACAGATAGAAAATATTTCAGCCTTTAAGATAAGTAATTGTATGCTTGTGTATGATTTTATTTTCAGACTGTTTTTGTGTGAACAGAAAATTTGTATGAATTAAATAAAATTTGAAGCAATGACTTGAATTTTCTTTTTCTGTTTTTTTTCTTCTTCTTTTTTTTTTTTTTTTTTTTTTGATCATTTGTTTTTCATCATATCATTGTGTCTTTTCATCATTATTTTCATTTCTAAAGGAGAACAAATTGAAAATCTGCTAAGACTTCAGTACCTTCCCAAGAAAATTTAGTTAAAAGAACTTTATATATTCCAATTCCATTCTAAAATTTTGTACACTGATATACGTCTGTGATTAATGAAAAAATCCTAACTTTAACAATCACTGCTTGTATGCTTAAGCTAATAAAACCAAATGCTTATGAAAAAAACAGTGCCATTTATCAGGGTCAAATTAACACTAACCTTGGATCTTCACATCTGACCAAAAGTTGACCACACAATGTCCCTTCATTCTATAGAAACTTATTTTCTGCACATTTCCTCACTTTCACAAAATTCACTTCACGATCATCAGCACACACTTTATGATCAACTCTGATGTCAGTGTGTTTTGTTACCGTCCTTTTTCTGTCTGTTGTTTTTCAGAATGACGTAGTGACTTTGTCCTTTTAGATGCTTATATATGTTGTACTTGTTTTTTTCCAACATGATTTGATATACAATATCATAGGTGTAATCCTCAAACATTTTTTATTTACGTTCATCAAACCAATATATATTTTAACACTTGTTACGTACAATATAATTTTGGCATTAACTAACGATGTAAAACAGGTCAAGCAAGAAACACCAAAGCATGCAAACAATTTCTTTATAACAAATATAAAGATTTTTCTTCAATCAATTTTCCCATTGTTTTCCCTTCATCCTTTTAATTTGTTTAGAATTACGTTTAAAAAGTATCTTCATAAATTTCAAGAGCCTAAATTAACAACCAAAAGATTTTTTTTCCAAATTTTTTTTTTTTTTTTTTTTGATAAAATACCTTTTTGGACACTTTACTATGACCTTTTTGTCCCTTCCAAACCTAACCCAGAATGCATGTTGACGGATGTTGCATGACTACGGTGTTTCTTGTTTCCGACATTTGTTTACTGTGCCTATGTGACCAGCGTAGAGACATTATTTGCCTGGTATGTGGATTGTTAATTCCAAATCTAATACTTTTTCCCTCCCTTTTTTTTTCTCTGCAGCATGGAAATGCATAAGAATTTGACCCTTGACCCGACAACCTCGACCCCTACATCTTCTGCAACCTTGACCTCTGTTCAGTCCCATCATGCTCCCTTGGCAATTCCGCTGAATCAGCTAGCCATGAAGCCGATGCCTTTACTTGGACTAAACATTGGGATGATGGATTCTGCTGCTGCAGCAGCTGCTGCAAGTCAGAAAAATTTCACAGCCAAAATGAGGGTTGGGGTCGCCACGAATGCACTGAGGGGTGACCGAATGAAATTCGCTCCTTACTAACCTCAAATATTTAGAGTGGGTGTAGCACCTTAGAGTGGTCGGCTATTAGTCTGTAAAGAATGGCTTGGAATCGTCATGTGACCAGCCACCATAACGACCAAATACGAATACCATCATTTGTGATGTTATAAAAAATTCTATATAAGATAGATATATATATATATCTTGACTAGTCTCAGTGGTAGTTACCATAGCAACAGCTCAGTGTATTTATCTTACACAGATTTGGCTGTGGTCTTACCAGTAACCACGCTATATTTTCTCTCTGAAGAAAGTCCATATAGTAGTTACAATGCTGTTACATACCAATTCACTGTCTCATTGTCAAACCGATTTTATTGTTGGAGATGGAGCACTGTGATAGTTCTTAATCCAGCTCAATTTTTCTCTCACACTTTTTTTGTTTTTTTGATATGTTGTATTTTACCCAATCCCATGGTCCCACACCATCTATGTTTAGTAATCACTCACCCCATTTTCACGATGGACTTTTCCCAAAACTGTGATATGGACAAATTCATGTTTTTAGGAGGAGCGATACCATTGATTTATTCACCAACAAATCATTCCTCATAACTTTAAATTTCAGGAAATTAAATATTCAAATATCAAGATTTTATCTAATTTTATGGAAACAGATTTTTGTAAACATTCAATTTTTTCCTTCAATATTGGATATGATAACTGGTTTTATAGAGAAACTTTTTAACATCTGAAAGATTTTTTGTATGTAAAAATAATTTATAAGTCTGATTCTCTTTTTAAAAAATACATTCCCATTATGATAGGTGTTTATATCAAATTGGATGTGTTTTTATTGAATCATTCAGTGAGTATGATGGCTACATGTTTTTGTACAGAGAATTTTAAAAATATTCGGTAGGGAAAACCAAAACATATCAACTAATAGGATGACATGTTATGTCGTCACATGCCTCAGCATTTGTAGTGACTACGATATGGACTTTCTGCGGGGAAGGCTACTTATAGACGATCCATATATTGATGAAGAAATCATTTGTATCTTAATTGTGTAATGTTTGTTGTTTAGAAATTATTCAAAATTTCAATTACTTACAACATGATTAACTTTTTTGTCAAATTGTTATAATTTTTTTTTTAATTATTATTAATGAAATAGTTAGAACTCCACTGAGATAGTCTGTATTTTTTTGAGCCAAAGAGAAGTTTACAGTGATACTTTGGAGTGAGTTTAGCCACTTTCATTGTTAAGGATATATCTATATGTATATTAGTTTATTCACTATATTCTCATTCAAAATAAATAGTTTTTTTTTCTTTCTTATTTTTTTTAATTCTGTGTCTCGCAGACTTTATTGATAGTTATTTTGCAGTATTAATTTGGTGTCTTTATTTTTGATTACAATTAATTGATAATTAATGAGTGGCTAATTACAGTATGGTGCAGTTATGGTATCCTAAGTGAGTGTAATTAATGAGAATGTGAAAGTGATAATTATTGTGTAAATGAAAAAAAAAGGCTACATTTAATGTTTCTTGATTCTGGAGATATTAACAAAATTGTCAATGTATAATTTTTCTAGTATAGCCGATGTGATGACATTCCGAGTACATATCGATTTGATATCCCCCATCCCCCATAAATACAGGGTACGTAGCTCTTTAAAAGCTTGTACTACTTCTAGATACACTGTTTTTGCCAAGTATTGTCTTATGGGGTTTACAAAGTCAAAACTGTGACTGTCATGAGGCATACTGCCTTTCCTAAACCAATCGTAACCATTTTTTTCTTCATTAATTGTTTAACAAATTTAGGGGGAAAAATCAGATCTAATTAGAGTTGTTATCAATATGTTTATGGTGGGTACTTTTTGGTTTTTTTTAAAATGTTTTTGAAACCTTGTTTTTCGCAAATGGCATAATTGAGAATAAGAAAATATAATTCTGAAGAAAAAAATATTTTGACTAAAATTAATGATTTTGTTTGTTGTAAAAGAGTTATGTGTTTCCTGTTATGAGATGTGGCTAGCTGTGCTAACAAACATGAGAGACTGAATGCCTCAGATGTCACATAGCTTTGACTTGATTCCACCATTTGGCATGTCTCTATACTTACATATATATATATATATATACACGTGTATCCATAGTGTGTTTTTGTACATTCGTAGTTGTTAAGGTCCCGTATCACTAGATTGCAATATATATCACCCTCGTAATTTGTTTTTATTTTAGTTTTTCATTTTCCCATTAAGATTATATGTGTATGTATATATATATAGAAATTATATACAGTATAAAGATATATATATATATAATATATATGATACTATTTGAATTGTTCCTTCAAGATCGTACCTCTAAAAATGAAATGATTTTAAATACAGTTATAATCATTTACAATCATAGTCCTCATTTGCATAATTTATGTTTTGCAATATAGATATGTTTGCAATATTACTGTTTTGACGAATGTTTGGTGTTAACTTTTTGCCCATATTTTGTGTAAGGAAGTATTACGAGGTTTTGAATTTTGTGTTTCCCCTGATACTTAACAATTGATTGACAAGTGTTGAAATGCTGTTATATTTCTGCCATTTTCACCATTGAATTTCTCTTGCTTTTTACATAGAATATGCTGTCTCGTTTATAGTGGATAAGCTCTATTGAATTGAGTTCTATACTCATGTGATCACTTTTAAAAGATGAAAGCCAGTTTCATGAAGGGTTTGCTATGCTTAAATAATTTCCAACTCTACTTTTTGCTAACATGCTGTTAAACCAACTTTTTTTTTGTGTCATCTCAGATATTGTTCTTAGAAAAATCGGTCATGCACTTGACACAGTCACTAATGAGTTATCTCCCCACTTCGTTACTTTTTAGGATCACGACGGAGATGTGTGGATTGGGAATTCGCTAGAATTGCGTGTGCTTTGAGGACCATGTTAACGTGATATTGAACTTCAAACACGACTCTACCGTATCACTACATTATAGAGAGTTCTCTGTGACCTTGGTGCAGTGACCATTGACCTCTGCCATCGAGGGGTCAAATCAAGTATGAAACGTAATGGCTGTATCAATGTGTACTAGTCCATCAAATTATTCTAACAAGATGTTGATATTCATTTCTATAAATTATATTGTAGATTGATAGTGTGTTTAAAAAAAAACAAATTCATTGTGGTAATAGTGCTAATTAGTATTCAATATCAGATGGATTATAAAATAATTTTCTCAAAAGATTTGGTTCTATGTACAGGAAATGATAGGTCATGTGACATCACTAAGAACTCTCTATATGACACCGATTGTTTTACTAGCACTTGTAGTAGCAGGGTTTGATCATGTATACACTACAATTATCTTTTTCATTTTTATCTGAGCTTCCGATTTATATACTGTGTGTTTTTACTATATATATATATATAAAATTAGCAACAGTGTGAAGTGAACTTGTCGGATTGTTTGTGACCTGCTGTCATATTATGTCATTATCCATGCATATTCTTTTAGCTGCAGAAATACTTCTAGGGTAGCCCTTTCCTAGGCCAGGATGTTAAACCACACAAGTTATTATAAAGCCCATTAGTACACAATTCAACCCATGTAAACTGATTTCTAGTGTTTCTTGGTCAATTTTATTTTCTCAAAAATATTGAATCATAGTGACTGTCCATTGTTTTAACAACATTTGTTCCTTAAAAACATGTTGAAGGAAAAATAACCATGGTGATACAGGTTTAGTTTTCCATTCCTTAGCTCTCCTTTTCAACTCTTAGCTTAAAACACCTTACGTATCCCTGTTCTTGCCTGTGATGGAATAGATGTTTGGATTGTTCAAAATATGATCTATGCATGCTTTTCATCACTTTGTTACACACGGCTCCATACCTGTACAGTCACGTTGAATACCTCAAAATTCTAGTCAAGATTTCACAAGAAACACTTTGTGATGAGATACAAGAATTGTCTCCCTTTTATTACCATTCTTTTATCATTTCTCCATTAGCTTATAACCATTATGCTCAATATTATTATTATATTGTAATCATATATTTTTTATCACATTAGATAATTTATAAATCTTGCCAAAATTTATTTTTACTTCCATTCAGCTCAACCAAACCTTAATTCTTCAATTTTCACTTGTTAAATGATTCAGTTCCCATCACTTTATGATATTTATCTATAACGAGGGCCTATAGAGTTTGTGTTTATAAATAACTTTTCTATTTAGAACACCAATGTTATTGTCAGCATTATTATGTAATATCCTGTATTAATTAACATTATCAGATTTAGTACATAGTGTGTACAACCATTACCAAACATTTTTCTAATATTTGCCAACAGAATATTTTTTGTTTAAGAGGGAGCAAAAAAAAAAAGAAAAAAAAACCACAAAGGCAAAAAAAGAAAAATACCAAATAATGATGATGAAAAATTTCACCTTTGTGCATTATTTGAAAATAAATGTTCAGTTATTTCTTGTTTCATATGATTGATATTTCACACGATGGTGCATTATTAGATTAAGAGAAAATAAAAAAACACACACACAGATGGAATATTTCAAAAGTATTTCTTATATAGTAGACATATTAAAATTCACAAAATTTCATGATAATAAGAGCTTATACTGGTGTTAGGTTAAGTGATTAGACTGCTATTGTCCAGTCTTAGTGGTGTTGTTTATCTGTGGACACGGTGGGTGTGTCCGTGTGTGGCACCTGTTTAAGGCTGTTACACAATCACCTTGCTCTGTTAATCGTTGGCCACATGAAAAATCATTACCTGGTAAAACATACCAAAACGTTAACCTCAAATAGTTTGCAGTTCTGTAAGCCTGAGTTAACTCTACATGTTGTTTTTAAAAAAAGCTCCTGTTAAAATGTGTTCATGTGATAATCGCCCAACGGTTAAAAAAATGTTCAGTTAGGGTATCTACGCAAATCAAATCTTCCATCTAGCGTCAGTTTCCTGTATACATGATCAAGCCATCTATCATTGGTTAATTTCTGAACCAGGTGATCTCATTTGCATACTCCCAAGCAAAAAGATTAATTGTGCACAACCCAGATATGTACATCTCTGTAAGGCATGACCGATTTAAGGGAATAAGAAGCTCAGGGTAACAGTTGTTATGATTCATTTGTTCAAACTGCAGGTATACATATATATGATTATTCTTTCTCTTCTTTTTTTTTGATTATTATTGAAATTACTTTCATTTTTTTCACATCTTGATTCCAAAGGGTGCTAAGTAGGGAAAATCTGTTGATGTTGCTTCCGTGGTCATCATAGTTCAGTGTCAATATGATTCTATATTTGAAAAGTTCATAAAGGTAGCTACGATATCTTTGAATATTTTTTTATTTTTGTCATATGCACAAATTCTCTTACTTCTGTAGTGTAAAAAAAAAAACAGCGTCTGACTCATTGTTTTCATAAACAATATTTGTCACATTTTTCTCGGAGTTATAACCTCAACAAGTTTATTAAGCCAAAATATTTATATATGTCTTATAAAGTAGATTTGTTATATTAGGTTCAACACAAGTTTGTATGATTTCCTGCCAAAAGAAATACTTTGATAAAAATACTCGAACAGGGGCTCTGACAAAGGGAGAAAATTTTGTCAGGTTTTTTTTTTCATTTTTTTTTTTTTTTATAATTTTGAAAAGAAAAATTCAGATATCAGTTGAGTTTAGTGAATAGTTAATTATATTTTGGCATCCTACAAAAAGAATGTGTTTATTTTAAGTTTTATCAGAAGCCCAGCGTGGAGCCCCACTGTGATCTTTGAATACACAATATACATATCAGTGATAGAGTGGCAGTGCACCTATATAGTTCCTAGGACAATGAAGTAACGGAATTTTGTTGTTGAAATGATGATGAACGTGTTCAGTAATACTTTTGTAAGCAATCAGTACAGCATATTACTTTCGTTTTTTGTTATTGTTAAAACTCATGAGGGATGTAAAAAAAAAAGAAGAAAAAAAAAGGAAAAAAAAACGAGTTTGAGAAAATTGTTGTATTGTTGTGCTGTCCACATATTCAGAGTGTGTCTCATAATATTATGTGATTGGCAAAGTGCAAACTTTTATTTCATATTATGACTTCATTCATGATCACATGTGCGTTTGTGTTTGAGACATCATTGTCACAGAAACGTTTTGCATCTGTGGCATTCTTTGAATTGATTTACTTGTTGAAGCAAGTTCCTAATGGACTGATATCACTGTGATCGAGTCCTACATGCCAATAAGTATATCTTTTTTGTCAGAGGATACAGAGCTCCTGAGTAGATAGCATTTCCATAGAGGGCAGGGAATGATTGTTTTATGTTAATTGTCAACAGATTTGTGAAATGATAAAACATTTTATACATCACCTCAGTACTTAATGTAGATATATTGCTGACATCAATATCGTGAAGGTGTAGCATAGTATAACATGTACCTAAACAGATTTGTTCTGTTTCACATGAGAAACATGTCAGACTGATGGAAATATTTATGGAAGTTAGAGTGTACTTGTAGTGCTGTTTTGGAAGTACATGTGATGTTGTATCAATGTCTGAAAAAATGTTCTGTATCTTCTGACAATGGGAGGTCACTATTGTGTAGATGTCTTTGGAGAAATCTAGTCACATTATTGACCATAGCTTAGCAAACAACTGTAATGTAAAAAATAATGGTAGCATATCGTCTTCAAACTACTACAAATATGAATATATTTGTATATGAATCTTTATGAAAATGTCTTGTTTTGGCAAGATGAGAAATACTGATATATTTTACTGCTACGTTATGTTTCTCCAGGAGCATGTCCACAACAGTGACCTATTTTGCCTAGACTTGGCACTAGTTGTTTTATCATATTTTATATTTAATTTTGAGGGTTTTTTTGTCATACAATTGTAATGTATTGATGATTGATTTGTTGACAATGGAAAGTTTAAAAATATTTTTTTTCTTTTCACTATCGTCACTTAAATAAATATGATGGTTGTAATTTAAATATATACATTTATTATAATGATATTTTTGATAGCCTCTCACCCCTAGTGTTTGGAATGGTATGAACCAAACAATGAAGAGACTAGTCTTTTATCACTGGTAGGGGGTGACAGGTCATCAGGAACTGTTGCAGGCCACTAGGAGTGGAACATGAGTGTTGGATATTTAGACTGTATCGCCATAGCGACAGTAAATCTCTGTATCGCCATGGCAACAGTTACTCTTGTACAAGCTGTATAAAAGTGTTGCCAAACTCATGAGAAAATATTAATAAAGATTTGGATTATTTAATTTATACAAGTGTTTGATATTTTGTTAAAATATCTGAAACAATAACATCAGAGTGTTACCAGGTACATCGCCAAAAGAGTGTTGTACATGATACAATGACATCAGAGTGTTGTACATGATACAATGACATCATAGTGTTGTACATGATACAATGACATCAGAGTGTTGTACATGATACAATGACATCAGGGTGTTGTATATGATATAATGACATCAGAGTGTTGTACATGATACAATGACATCAGAGTGTTGTACCTGTTACAATGACATCAGAGTGTTGTACATGATACAATGACATCAGAGTGTAGTACATGATACAATGACATCAGAGTGTTGTACCTGTTACAATGACATCAGAGTGTTGTACATGATACAATGACATCAGAGTGTTGTACCTTATACAATGACATCAGAGTGTTGTACATGATACAATGACATCAGAGTGTTGTACATGATACAATGACATCAGAGTGTAGTACATGATACAATGACATCAGAGTGTAGTACATGATACAATGACATCAGAGTGTTGTACCTTATACAATGACATCAGAGTGTAGTACATGATACAATGACATCAGAGTGTTGTACCTGTTACAATGACATCAGAGTGTTGTACATGATACAATGACATCAGAGTGTAGTACATGATACAATGACATCAGAGTGTTGTACATGATACAATGACATCAGAGTGTTGTACATGATACAATGACATCAGAGTGTTGTACATGATACAATGACATCAGAGTGTTGTACATGATACAATGTCATCAGAGTGTTGTACATGATACAATGACATCAGAGTGTTGTACATGATACAATGACATCAGAGTGTTGTACATGATACAATGACATCAGAGTGTTGTACATGATACAATGACATCAGAGTGTTGTACATGATACAATGACATCAGAGTGTTGTACCTGATACAATGACATCAGAGTGTTGTACATGATACAATGACATCAGAGTGTTGTACATGATACAATGACATCAGAGTGTTGTACCTGATACAATGACATCTGAGTGTTGTACATGATACAATGACATGACATCAGAGTGTTGTGCCTCATGTACTGTCATTAGTGTTGTACATGATACAATGACATCAGAGTGATGTACCTTATACAATGACATCAGAGTGTTGTACCTCATATACTGACATCAGAGTGTTGTACCTGATACAATGATCATGATACAATGACATCAGAGTGTTGTACAATGTCATGACATATACAATGACATCAGAGTGTTGTACATGATACAATGACATCAGAGTGTTGTACATGATACAATGACATCAGAGTGTAGTACATGATACAATGACATCAGAGTGTTGTACCTGATACAATGACATCAGAGTGTTGTACATGATACAATGACATCAGAGTGTTGTACATGATACAATGACATCAGAGTGTTGTACATGATACAATGACATCAGAGTGTTGTACATGATACAATGACATCAGAGTGTTGTACATGATACAATGACATCAGAGTGTTGTACATGATACAATGACATCAGAGTGTTGTACCTTATACAATGACATCAGTGTTGTACCTCATATACTGACATCAGAGTGTTGTACCTGATACAATGACATCAGAGTGTTGTACCTGATACAATGACATCAGAGTGTTGTACATGATACAATGACATCAGAGTGTTGTACATGATACAATAAGATCGGTGTTGTACATCAATTACTGACATCAGTGTTGTACATGATACAATGACATCACAGTGTTGTTTATGATACAATGACATCAGTTTTGTACATCAAATACTGACATCAGAGTGTTGTACATGATACAATGACATCAGTGTGTTGTACATGATACAATGACATCAGAGTGTAGTACATGATACAATGACATCATAGTGTTGTACATGATACAATGACATCAGAGTGTTGTACATTTTACAATGGCATCAGTGTTGTACCTGATACAATGACATCAGAGTGTTGTACATGATACAATGACTGTTGTACGATACAATGGCATCATAGTGTTGTACATGATACAATGACATCAGAGTGTTGTACATGATACAATGTCATCATAGTGTTGTACATTTTACAATGGCATCAGTGTTGTACCTGATACAATGACATCAGAGTGTTGTACATGATACAATGTCATCAGAGTGTTGTACATGATACAATGACATCAGAGTGTTGTACCTGATACAATGACATCAGAGTGTTGTACATGATACAATGACATCAGAGTGTTGTACATGATACAATGACATCATGTACATGATACAATGGCATCATAGTGTTGTACATGATACAATGACATCAGAGTGTTGTACATGATACAATGTCATCAGAGTGTTGTACATTTTACAATGGCATCAGTGTTGTACCTGATACAATGACATCAGAGTGTTGTACATTTTACAATGGCATCAGTGTTGTACCTGATACAATGACATCAGAGTGTTGTACATGATACAATGACATCAGAGTGTTGTACATGATACAATGACTGTTTGTACATGATACAATGACATCATGTTGTACATGATACAATGTTGTACATGATACAATGACATCAGAGTGTTGTACATGATACAATGTCATCAGAGTGTTGTACATGATACAATGACATCAAAGTGTTGTACATGATACAATGACTGTTGTACGATACAATGGCATCATAGTGTTGTACATGATACAATGACATCAGAGTGTTGTACATGATACAATGTCATCAGAGTGTTGTACATGATACAATGACATCAGAGTGTTGTACCTGATACAATGACATCAGAGTGTTGTACATGATACAATGACATCAGAGTGTTGTACATGATACAATGTCATCAGATTGTTTTACCTCATATACTGACATCAGAGTGTTGTACATGATACAATGACATCTGAGTGTTGTACATGATACAATGACATCAAAGTGTTGTACATGATACAATGACATCAGAGTGTTGTACATGATACAATGACATCAGAGTGTTGTACCTCATATACTGACATCAGAGTGTTGTACATGATACAATGACATCAGAGTGTTGTACAATGACATCAGAGTGTTGTACCTGATACAATGACATCAGAGTGTTGTACCTGATACAATGACATCAGAGTGTTGTACCTGATACAATGACATCAGAGTGTTGTACATGATACAATGACATCAGAGTGTTGTACATGATACAATGACATCAGAGTGTAGTACATGATACAATAAGATCGGTGTTGTACTTCAAATACTGACATCAGTGTTGTACATGATACAATGACATCACAGTGTTGTTTATGATACAATGACATCAGTTTTGTACATCAAATACTGACATCAGAGTGTTGTACATGATACAATGACATCAGGGTGTTGTACATGATACAATGACATCAGAGTGTAGTACATGATACAATGACATCATAGTGTTGTACATGATACAATGACATCAGAGTGTTGTACATTTTACAATGGCATCAGTGTTGTACCTGATACAATGACATCAGAGTGTTGTACATGATACAATGACTGTTGTACGATACAATGGCATCATAGTGTTGTACATGATACAATGACATCAGAGTGTTGTACATGATACAATGTCATCAGAGTGTTGTACATTTTACAATGGCATCAGTGTTGTACCTGATACAATGACATCAGAGTGTTGTACATTTTACAATGGCATCAGTGTTGTACCTGATACAATGACATCAGAGTGTTGTACATGATACAATGACATCAGAGTGTTGTACATGATACAATGACTGTTGTACGATACAATGGCATCATAGTGTTGTACATGATACAATGACATCAGAGTGTTGTACATGATACAATGTCATCAGAGTGTTGTACATGATACAATGACTGCTGTACGATACAATGGCATCATAGTGTTGTACATGATACAATGACATCAGAGTGTTGTACATGATACAATGTCATCAGAGTGTTGTACATGATACCATGACATCAGAGTGTTGTACCTGATACAATGACATCAGAGTGTTGTACATGATACAATGACATCAGAGTGTTGTACATGATACAATGTCATCAGATTGTTTTACCTCATATACTGACATCAGAGTGTTGTACATGATACAATGACATCTGAGTGTTGTACATGATACAATGACATCAAAGTGTTGTACATGATACAATGACATCAGAGTGTTGTACCTCATATACTGACATCAGAGTGTTGTACATGATACAATGACATCAGAGTGTTGTACCTCATATACTGACATCAGGGTGTTGTACATGATACAATGACATCAGAGTGTTGTACCTGATACAATGACATCAGAGTGTTGTACCTGATACAATAACATCAGAGTGTTGTACATGATACAATGACATCAGAGTGTTGTACATGATACAATGACATCAGAGTGTAGTACATGATACAATGACATCAGAGTGTGTTGTACCTGATACAATGACATCAGAGTGTTGTACCTGATACAATGACATCAGAGTGTCGTGTTTCAGGTGTGCCCTCCTATGTAATTCTACTGTCGGGTTGGTTTTGACGACGTCGTTAAGTTTTCGACTGACCGTAGAGTGTATACATCCTTTTTAACAACAAAATATGACTTGTGTGGTTTGTATTGTTGGTATTTTACATGCAAGAACATGATTTTAACTTTATCATTACTATTTCACTGACAAAAAAAACCATAAAAATTATTACATTTCTTTAAATTATCACATTTCCAAATTTTACACTTTTCACTTACAAAATTACTTTTATGTTTTTTATTTCAAAATATGTAATGGTAATCCTTTGTTGCCGTTTGCTGCTGTTCTGCCGCTGTTTGATGCTGTTTTGCTGTAATTTGAACTTTTCCAGTATTCGGTGACATTATGGCTACGAGTACCCCGGGTTGTTTACATTTGTCGAGAAACTATAAAGAACCCGTATTAAACAGGGTATCATCGATTAGCAACCGACTCATTGTTGCCCGCTGCATTTTTAAGGTCTAATACAACATTTTTTGTTTTT